ACTGGGGAGGTTGCAGGGAGCAAAACCCCTCAAGATAGGCCACATCCACTGCTCTACCATCATCCACCCACTGGGTGATGTCCTCATAAAAGGCTATCAGGTTTGTCAAGCACGACTTCCCCTTAGTGAAGCCATGTTGACTGCCCCTAATGACCCTCTTATCCTTGATATGCCTAGAGACAGCACCAAGGATAAGTTGTTCCATTATCTTTCCTGAAATGGAGGTGAGGCTGACCGGTCTACAGTTACCTGGGTCTTCCTTCTTGCCCTTTTTGAAGACCAGAGTGACATTTGCTTTCCTCCAGTCCTCAGGCACCCCTCCCGTTCCCCACGATTTAGCAAAGATGATGGCGAATCCACCACTAAACCATGTCTCTAAGTGCCATGTCTATAAACATCAGAACTTTTTAGTTTTTTATGGGATATTTGTTTCACTAGCACTAGGTATACCTACCATAAGAGCCTGGTGCTTTCTCTTCATAAGTAAAATGAAGCTGCAGCTCCTCTTCTGACATTCGGCTGATGAACACTTTCAGCAAACAGCAAATAATAAATAGTGCATTGTGAGCCTGCCAAATAAAGAGGTGACTAGAAAAGAAGCAGAAACAAACAAAAATCAGTAAAGCTTAACCTGCAAACATGAATCAAAAATCACAAGAAAATATTTGCCAGGGTAGCTTCCAGCTGAAGCAAGGAAAAGACAAAGCACTCAAGCAGGGAGTCACCAGCTGATGCTACAGCAAACAGGCTGGAAATGTGTTTAAAATAACTATTTTTTCTTCTCTCAGGAGAATACAATCTTACTCCTAACTCTGTATAGTTAAAAAGACCATAGTTGCCAGAAGCACCACTCCTCAAAGAGCTCACCAGATGGCTCAGCATACTTCTAAAGGTTTTCAGATACTATGGACTCAAGCCACTCAGACATTTGAAAATTTCCTACAGCTTAGATATGAAAGCTGCTCTGGCTCCCTGAACCTTAGCACTTCTCCCAGTCAAACAGCCTTCAGATGACCACAGGTATTAAGGACCTCAGAAGCACAACTTTTCTACGGAACGTATATTTCCCAAGCTCTCTGAATGAAAGGGGAATATAGCTTCACTACATTTTCTTGAATACGAGTAAGCAACTGCTGGGAAGCCTATACAGCAGCCTATAGTTCAGCTCTTGCTTGAAGCCATACTTTCAAGGTATTTTTGGATTAAAGCAGCAGGAGCTATCTAGGCAGGAATAACTTTTTTCCCCAAATACAACCTTTTTGCTTGTCCCGGGAGCAAGGGGGCACTAGGAAGAAAGGCTGCCTTTTTGAAGCCCCAGATCTGATGAGAGTTGGACATTTGTCTATGGGTGAGGGGGAACAATTACAGAAAGCTTCCTGCAAAAGCTATACGGTGCAGCACACAGAACCTCTTGGAGTTATTTCCTACTGCTGAAGGGGGCAAGCAAAACAAATGGCAGTTCCATCATTTGATTTGAAAGCAAATGTCTTTATATAGAAGTTTGTGTTCAAATCTAATCCAATTTAAAATATTTCCAAGGCAAAGTACTGGTTCATATATTAAGATTTAGCTTAGAAGTTCAGATGATTTTTAAACAGCTCCAAACCCATAGTAGCCAGAAGTTACACCATTTGTACACAAATGCATTAATGTAACACACAGAATGAACACAAAATGTCTTCTTCCCAGCCATCTGTCTACCTATTACACTTAATCTTCTGTGTTTGGAAAAGTGCTAGATACTTGTTCTCCTTCAAGCAACAATTCAACATAAATCTGTTTTGATCTGTGAGCATGTTAACTGGCAAAGTAAAAAAACTCAAGAGCTAGCAGCAAAAGGACATCTAAAAAGTGAAATGGCGCACAGCTTTCTTTCCCCCAGCTACTTACTTCTGACATTCTGCTGAAATTTTTAACTCTTTGGTTCTAGAAAGAAAAACTTTAATCAACGAGCCAAGGTTTCCTGTTCGAGGATTCTTCTCAACTAGATGAGGAAAAATAGGGTATGATTACATAGCATGCATAAGTTGACACTATTTAGTTCAAACAATATACAGAATGAAACCAAATTTCAATATCTTAAATATTTCTACATAAAGCATAGTATGCCTGGTTTTCTGTATACGTGGTGTTCTTCTAAGATTCTCCAGTACACGCTTTACTACTGCATAATTGCTTTCTAAACATATTTTTCATCCTAGATTTAAAATATCCCAAATGTGGGGCTCATATTGCTTCCTTTCCAAGACTTCTCTGCAGCACAATAGTCTTCTATCCAGAAACTGGGCAGGTCTTCACAACTAGCTTTTACCTTCTTGAAACATTGTTGATCACATTTATATTATCCCTTCCTTTTGTCCTCTGATTAATTCTTTCTCATTACTGATCAGCTTAGAGGGCAGAGGGAAAAAGAAGTAGCAGGGACGACATTACTTGTTTTAAACCTTTCAGTTATTTCAAGTTCTACAAAACAGTTAATGATGGAAGCTTCTAAAAGTTTGGGATATATAAACACACCTTACTTCAATTTTACTAGTGGAACACATATTAAGTAGAGTTAAGTATACTAAAGACAGGGATGCGCACATGAATGGTGTTTCTTAGTTTTTCTGACAAAGCACATGGAAAAAAGATGTCACAATTTCTCACCTAAAGACTTGCAGACTGAGATCGTGGCTTCTTCCAAGAGCTTTAAGTCAGCGCTATGGGAGGGGGGAGGAAAAACAAAAAACATGGTTACACAAGCAATTGAGTTCCTGTATGTGAAGTGAAAACTCATTACAGAACGGTAGTAAAATATTTCTACAAAGCACTTAATTTTACCAATCCGTTAGCTGGTTTACATAGATATCACAGAAGCACAGAGTGGTTGAGGTGCCAAGGGACCTCTGCAGGTCACCTGGTCCAACCTCCCCGCTCAGCGAGGGCCACCTAGAACCAGCTGCCCACGACCACATCCAGGCAGCTTTTGAGCATCTCTACAACCTCTCTGGACAACCCGTTCCAGTGCTCCGTCATCCTAGTATCAGGAAGGACGCATCTGACGTACAGTGATGGTAAAACAGGAAACTAATATTCAAAAGTGAATTGTTTGTCAGAGTGAAATGATGTCACTGAATCATTTGTATTACTGTTACCTTTGTGGCTTCGATGCTGCTGTGCTTAGCTGGATGCCGCTGAAAATACACACATAACAGCAGCCTACAGGAAGAACCTGGTTTTTTACAAGAACTATCATATGAAATAACATCTTTTTTAAAAGCATAAATTAAAGAGTCCTCAGCCTGACTTTTAACCTCAAGTTAAGCACCACTTCGCTTTAACTAATATTATATTAATGTAACAATGACACCAGATGCACCAAGATTTTTGTAACTTTGCTAATTGCCTGTTGGTATGCCTCAGAGAAAACCATCAGCTGAAGAGAACAATAAAGCACTAAAGCAGAACAGCATTCATACAGAACATACAGTCTGACCTACAGGAATGACAGTCCTTCTGAAGTTCCCCAAATTAAAAGCCAGGCCAAAAAAACCCAAAAAACAAACCAGTTCAATGCTTGCAGACATAAGATAGTATGTAATACAGGCTGAACAATTTCAGAGCTTATGCAGCTACATCCTTGTAATTAAAGGTATGAAAATCACCATCCTCAGAATAAATAGGAAAGCAGCAATGTAGTGAAACTTGAAGAGTAACTGAGCCTGTAAAAGTCAGTGATATGGCCTCTGTTCAAGCACTCCTCTCATATAAAGATACTGCAAAACTTAATACTGCCATAAGCCATAGATTGCCAAAGTCACTGTTGCTTCCTAAGCACTAAGTTTTCTGACGAGTAACCTGATTTATATAAAAACATCAGAGATTGAAGACAAAAAGGGAAGGGCACCGCATGCAGTCCCCCTGTTCCACCTGCTCAATCCCATCTTGGCAACCACCTGCAGGCTCTGCCAGTAAACTTCTAAAATGTGGTGGTGGGGGAAACCCTATGGATTCAAAGAAAAGCATGCTTAACCACGCAGACTTGACTGGCTGATTTAGATTCAGGCAAACATCTGAGGTGCAGGATCGCTTCCCACACACTTTAGGAAAAAATTCCAGGCTTCACAGGAATTCCTGGCTCATCCCGTGACCTAGTGGCCAGTATTTTCACAGTCTTTATAAAAGGAAGAAATTATTTTATTTGCTTTTTTTATGTAGAGGGAAGGCCCACAGACTCCAGCAGAACTATAACTAATAGTGAAATTTGCTTCCTGACAGCATGGACTTTTTTAAAGAAAATGGTTTAATCTTCTTTTATTTTAAAGGTATCAAAACATGAGATGTTTTACAGTGGCAGTGACTATTGTCTTGTAACATCTCAACACAGCAAGCAGTAAGAATGTTTTGCATACAAATTGTCACTACAAACCATCTATACACAGGAAGCACCTGTGTGACACCAGGTATCACACATCAGCAGAAGAAAAAAGTAATCAAGGGTAATCCCCCTCTGTAGGAAAGACGACAGCACAACCACCATACACCTACGCGACATAGCAAGAACTTTGCTACTAGGAAGGAGAGAGAAGAAATCAAAATTAAGTTCAAACTTGCAAGCTCAAGTTCTGCTCCTCTGATACTAGAGGCCACCTCCTTCTCCTGATACAAAAGTTCAATGCCTCAAACTGTACTATCATATAAATGCTATTTGGGAATTTGATGCACACACACCACCTCAAATGTATGGGAATCATGGAATCATAGAATCATAGAACTTTTTGGGTTGGAAGGGACCTCAAAACCCATCCAGTCCCACCCCCCCTGCCATAGGCAGGGACATCCTCCACTACACCAGGTTGCTCAAAGCCTCATCGAACCTGGCCTTGAACACTGCCAGGAATGGGGCATCCACAACTTCTCTGGGAATCCTGGTCCAGTGCCTCACCACCCTCTGAGTGAAAAATTTCTTCCTTAGATCTAATCTAAATCTCCCCTTTTTCAATTCAAAGCCATTGCCCAGGATACAGTTGGCTTTCTGGGCTGCCAGCACACGTTGTCGGCTCATGTTGAGCTTCTCATCCACCAGCACTCCCAAGTCCTTCTCCTCAGGGCTGCTCTCAATCCATTCTCCATCCAGCCTGTACTTGTGCTTGGGATTGCCCCGACCCATGTGCAGGACCTTGCACTTGGCCTTGTTGAACTTCATGAGGTTCTCACAGGCCCATCTCTCCAGCCTGTCCAGGTCCCTCTGGATGGCATCCCTTCCCTCCAGCGTGTCCACAACACCACACAACTTGGTGTCATATGCAAACTCTCAACCCACTCTGTGCCCAGTTTGTATTTGTGCCTAGCATTGGCCCGACCCAGGTGAAGGACCTTGCATTTTGACTTGTTGAAGCTCATGCAGTTTGCACTGGCCCAATTCTCAAGCCTATCAAGGTCCCTCTGGAT